CCACAGAAATTCTCCTAAATACAGCAACGATCAGAGAGGTAAACTCGACTGAAATTGACTCAAATTTTACGGCGAGAGAAACACAGGATTACGCGCCATCACAGCGCTAAGCTACAAACAATTAAGCAAACTCTCACAACTTTAAAACACTCGATTGAATTTACTTACAGTGACTTTCCTTGCCATCTTAAAGTACACAGAGATAAACTTGCGTTGACTAATTGTCGATGGATGTGTAAAAAAGGCAAAAGATTGTCGATTACCGCTAACTTTTAGGAGCTAAATTTAGGCAGCGGGTAAAAAATCCTGCCCGTAGGCCGTATCGTAAAAAGCTGGACCGGTCACGTGCGTATGATTAGCCAATCAAATTCGAGGATTTAGGATTCCGGCCCGCTCAGATGTTTGCGAAAAAAATAAAATATGTTATTCTCCAACTAGTCGCCAATATATCCTAGTTACGCAACACTTTCTAGTGGTATACATTGGAATATCCTCGAGTCACTTGTATTTTCTCGGTATATACACGAGCCTTTAGGCAAGTGTGCATACCAAGAAAATACCAACACAATCAATGCCACATACGCTCGGTGCATGATGGGACGGTTGGATGTAATAACGTCGAATATACAACGGCTTTCCTTTATTCTTATTGGCTCAGTATAAAATATGGTATTGCCGTCACAATAAGTACTTCTTAGAAACGTTATGACTACATGTTCCAAATTTTATCTCAGAGCGATTTTAGTGCTTCACCGACAGAGGCGGAGGTTTACCGTTTTTGTTATTAATCTCTGTTTTTGTTAGAGCTTCCAGCGTTGCATTACTGGAATCTTTAGAAGTCAAAGAAAGCTGACGAAAATCAACGCGGTAGAACCAAGATGGCGAGCTCAGAACTGATACGGCATTTTTGCTGCAAACCAATAAGATATCACTCTAGGTTGAAAATAGCCCCAAGAATCGTCAAGAATCAAGAATCACAGGTTGTCCATAAATAGCTAATAGTCTTTATCGTCAACCAGCACAGAAGCGGAGACTGGCTTTGGGGCAGAAGGGTAAAAACAAATCAAATACCAACAAGATATTCTTTGCCTTCTGAAGGTATTAGTTATTATTATCATTCTCTAAATAGGATCTTCGAAAGCAAATTGGTGCTGCGAGCAAGACGAGAGGGGGAATTCACAGAAACTTTCCTTCCTGCTACTAGAATTTCGAAAACGATCAATCTGAACAGGTTTCAAGACGGACGTCAACCTGGGCTGACAAACAGACTAGTTCTTGACAAACTGAAGAGTTCCCGATGTAGCAGAGCATCCTCCCGCTTACCAAGGGTTGAATGCTCACTCAGGTTATAGCCATGAATATCCCTGAGCTGGCCAATGTTGACTACAAACTTTGTGACGTCGCCACCAGTCTTCTTGGCTCGATTAACAGTTCCCAGGTGCCTATCAGTCCAATACAAGTGATCTCCAAGAAGTGCCAGTCCAAAAGGATAAGGTAAGAGGTCGTAAGAACTTATCAAGGTCACTCTGATATTAAGGTTCAGGTCCAGGTACTCTAGTTTGTGGTAGCTGCCATCTACCCAATACAGGCGGTTTTGTTCGTGGTCAAGAGTAAGGCCGTTTGGGTACAGGTTCCATGAACTCAAAAGGACAACACGTTCTTTGCCTGTCATTTCAGCTTTCTCAATTTTAGAATAGTAGTTCCGGCTTGACCAGTACATCATTCTACCAAAAAATAACAAAATTAGCTAAAAAAATGTTTCCATTTATCTTTTTCGAATTTATTTCAGGAGGACATAAAAATACACAAAAGTGACGAAGGTGGCTGCTTTAGCCCACCAAGATTGCTCATTATAATGTTATTTAATTCTTTCTATTATTTTTTTAAAGCGAAAATGAAAACAGATTTAAGAATTCTTTATAATGTTTTAATCTGTAATGTTTTGAACTTTATCATCATCGCTGTTTTTATTTTCTTTTGACGTAACATTTTCTTTTGTTTACATTGGTTTTCATATACAGATTTAGCCAAGCCTAAAAAGCCGAGCTCACATAAAATACTAATCATTTATTCAACACAAAAACCAATGAGCATTTCATCAAGCCGAATGTGTTACACAAACAAAACGAGGATATCTCCAAATTACATCGTGCGAGTGTCAAATGAACTAGGAAATCCTGTTCGCTATAAAAACACAAGATGGATAGAAATGTTCGAGAAAATTCGTTTAAGGTTGATTATCATCAAGAATAACGCAAAGAAATGCATTTAAAAGCCGGAGACGGGAAAAATTTTCAAAGACGTGTGTTGTTCAAGTTAATTTAACATTCACGATAAAGGGTAGTTTGAATATTATTTTTTGCCGTAGCTTTACGAGTCCTTCACCAATAACCTTAAAAGAAATTCACCTAGCTATATGCATTTCACCAAACCAAATGAACTGACCAAACAAAACTAGGAAATCTCCAAAAATACATATAAAACCACCACATGGGAGGATCAAATTGCAAATCCTGTCCGCTTTTAAGGACGTTGCCTACTTTTGTTAGGAGCACACATTCCGCGCATCATGCAAGGCTTGGTTTAATCAACACGCGCGCGCTAGGGTTTAGATTGACGTAATCAACTACGCTACCAAGTACGCCACCAAAATGAAAGCAAAATTTTCCTAGCGCGACCAAATCAAGTTTAATGAATCTGTACTAAGCCCAGAAATACCAGAATAGCAGCACATCGCTAGCCACTAACTGTTAACGGCTTCCATCTGAAAAACTAGCTTCTATTTGCCGAAAATTATACTGACATTTATCTGCATTTATAATGGTAATTGAACTGAGTGGAGTGCAATTTGGTCTGAAATCATACGCATGATTTCAAAATCGAACGAGCGCGCAGCGCGAGTTCGTATATGTAATAGGACTACATGCTGTCCAATTTGAAAATAATTGCATGAAAAAAATTCCGAGGACAGCCAAAATTGGACGAGGCCGCAGGCCAAGCCCAATTTTGCTGTCAGAGGAATTTTTTCAATCCAATTATTTCCAAATTTGACAAGCATGTAGTCCTGCTACTTATTAATTATATAGGTCGTGAGGTAATACAGCTTTGCAAGGAAAACTAGAGTAACTGTCTCTGAACAAAAACAGACTGGACCCTCGATCTTCCGAAACTTGGGAAAGCTTCGAAATATCCGGTGACCTTCGGAGATCGCCGGAGATTGTCACAAGTCTTCGGAAATCCTGGGAAGTGTTCGGATGATCTTCGGAAATCTTCGGAAGTGTTCGGGCGATCTGCGGAAGTACTCAAGTGATCTTTGGAATTCTACGGAGATGTTCGGGTGATATTCGGAAATCTTCGGACCTGTTCGGGTGATCTTCGGAAGTCTTCGGAAGGTTTCGTGTGGCCTTCGATAATCTTCGGAAGGTTAATAGCTTAATTACATTGGTTGAGACAAACTGTCCTATTTTTTCCCAAATTGGACAGTTTCTGCGTTTTTACTCAAAGTCCTTATTGAAAACTGTCCAAATTAAATCCCAAATTGGACAGTTTTCAGAAATTAAAAGATAATAGCTGTGCTGACAATACTGGATTAACTGACTGCTATATAATTAGATTTGAAATCAAAAGTATGATTTCAGACCAAAATTGCACAACACGAAGTTCAATTGCCACTTTATTACATCCATTTTGAAATCGCACAATTTCTGTCGCCTTAAATTTTACATTTTGGTGTATTGTTCCAGTGGCCGGTTTGTTAAAAAAGGCGGAACCGGAAACGTCTTTACGTCTCATTTAGTATGCAAAACGATGTCATTTGGCGAAAACTCATTCGAACATGACAGAGAAACAAGCAGTTCTGAAGTCAGAACGAAAATAGTCTATTTCAGTTATAAAAGTTCAATTCTCGTCGCCTGAATCAATTATGGAAGGCCTTCCTTTCTTCTGCGGTTGAGGCTGAGACTTTTCATTGTCTATGGAGAAGGAATTTGGAGGTACATATCCTGTGTAATTGTGCGATCGATTTCTTTTGAGTTGAGAAACTCCCTCGAGTGCACGATGCCCAGTGGATAGTACGTTTTTTCTTTTAAATACCGCTCAATCCCATGATTTTAAGGGAGTCCAGCTCGTTTCTTTTTGTCACCTCGGCGTAGGACTCAATACTCAGGACCTTGTCAAGTTCTTGCGGGGCCATTTGTTTTAAAACAGCTGTCCCCGACAATTAATCCTACTTCATTTCATACTTACTGAGGTTTCCGCGTAGAATCGATCGCACATGAAACACTCATACGGAAATTTCTTCATCCAATCACAATCGCGAAACGACTTTCTCACAAGTGGGAAAAGGATTTCATCCAATCAGAGATCAGCTGTCAAAATGAATCAGTCAGTTCGCAACGCGTTCACGTTGTTGTTGGCGCCTCTTCAATCTTCATTCACAGAAGTTTGTAGAGTTTCCAGAACTTTACTCCAGTTTTCTCGCAAATTAGCTATAAACCACAGACAATGGCGGAAAGTTCGAACAGGTTTATCG